CTGGATGCCGGCTGAGCCCGGCCTGCGCTGGAGCCGCAAGACCCGCTCTAGGAGTGCGCGAGGACTCTCGTTGCCGCTGCCCTCTGGGGAGGGGAGGCGAGGCGAGGCCGGGCTGCGGGGCTCTCAGAGGCCCTGGGGCGGGCTGGCCGGGGGTCCCTTTCGCAGCCTTGGTAAGACAGGAGCCCCGCTCCGCTAATACCTTGTCCTCAAAGATATCCTGCCTCTGGAGGCGGAGGCTCCATTTATCTGCCGTGCTTAGTAGCCACGAACCAAGTACACGCTTAGGTGGGCTCTTACCTGGCAGAGCTGACGAAGACGCCTGCCTGGGACTCGGGAAAGCGGTTGCTGATCAGTGGGCTTGTAAAAGACAGAGAGGAGCCCAGTGCACGCGAATCATCAGCTCAGACTCTGATCCACACAAGCAAACCCCGTGGCTACCCTGGTGGCTATTTTTTTTTTAAGCGTCACAGAAATCTGCAAGGTAGAATTCTGCAGAACACGGAGTTAATTTCTAGATTACAGGGTCTTCCCGCAACTTGATTTCTGTAGAGGAGTGGGATGGACCACCAGCGGGAGATCCCGAGCAGTTCTTCCAAAGATGACTGGATTTGGGGAAGGCTGATGGAGACCGGGAGACGAAGCCCTTCTCAGGGGTTCAGGCTCAGCGTTTAATGAACGTGCAGAGAGAGAGCAAGGTTGAGCCAAACGGCGCTCTGTTCCCCTGCTTGCATGTCCTGTTCCCTTGACAGGGTGATGCACATAAGCTGGCTTATTAATGGTGGATGTTAAGGGGATGTGGGAGAGTGCATTTAGACCATGAATGAGGCCTTTTCTAGATAGAGAGAAAGATCTTGGGCGAATCAGTGCTTTTTATTACAGTAGGAAAAAGCACCAGACGGATTGCAGTATCAGTCACGCCCTTACCAAGTTTATTAAGCTGATGCTGGCCACTGTGTATCTCCCTAATAGTTTCCTGTTTCTCCTCCTCCTGTAGGCCTGCTGGAGACAGGACTTCTGAGGCAACACCATGACGGGCAGGTAGGACGCTCCCAAGAACGGTGCCCCTTCCTCTGCTTCGTTCAGGCTGTTGCATCTTGCTTTATTATGCATCTCCCACATCCATTCTAGTTACGATTAGGTTGCCTTAGGAATGTCATTGAGCCCCCTCACTAGAGTAATCAGAAACTAAAAAAAGAAACAAAAGTTTTCCATTGCCATTATGATTAGTATTGCCTACATTGTCTACGTCTCTTACGCCAGGGTTCCTCAACCTTGGCGACTTTAAGACGGGTGGACTTCAGCTCCCAGAATTGGGGGAAGTTTGCAGAGTCCCTTTAATCAGGTCAACCAATGACCTGGTGGCTGCATTAGTACTAATCTTGATTAGTATTTGGTGGTGTGTGAATCCAGCCCACTTGTTCTCTTAGGGTTCAGTGTGTTGTGACAGTGGGCTTGTTTGGTAACAGTTAAGCTTGTTAAGCAAACCCAGTTCTATTTTAACCTTCTTGTTCCTCTGCAAACTGGGAATAAAATCAGCTTTGGGCTGTGATGACAGTGGAACAACAAACCAAGAGATAAATTTGCTGGCAATGGGAATTCTTCTGTTTAGTTTGCCCCCTCTGCTGAGGGAAGGGACCGTTACCTGGGCTTTTTCGTCAAATTTAAAACACAGCCCGTGTATCTTATATCTCCTATCTCATATCGATGAATTGTGATTGTGGGGCTGAAAAACATCCAACATATAGTGACAGAGTGCCAAAACAGAGCCTATAATGGAGATTTTGTTGACTTCTTGGCTGTGACAAATGAAGTAAAAAATTGTATTTGTACTCTAGACATATGTTTATAATTTTATAATTTGTATTTTATCTCTTGTTTTTTTTTTATTTTACTGAATTGCGATGTGAATGTGCCATACGATAAATAAATAAATCTCATATGGAATGGGTTCACACGTTATGCTAAGCCATTTTTTAAAAATTACGAATGCTGAATGAGCTGCACTACATATTAAGGCAAAATCTGGGCCTGCTGCCGCTTGGTGCAGTATGTGAACCCAGCAGCCAGTGGGCATCTGCCCCTCAGCTCTGCATTGTTTTGCAGGGGGCAGCCATGGCTGGAGTGTAACTGTGTGGGTGCTTCGTTCCCCAGGTTGTGGTGCAAGGCTACTTTTGCTGGCTACAAACGAGGCCTCCGAAACCAGAGGGAGCACACTGCTCTGCTGAAAGTTGAGGGGGTTTATTCCCGCAACGAGACAGAATTCTACTTGGGTAAAAAATGTGCCTACGTGTACAAGGCAAAAAAGTGAGTGCCTGATGACAGTTTCATACTCCCATCTTTTTTTGGCGCAGTCCTTGTGATGTTGATGAATGCCTTGTCTCATTAAAGGCTTGGGCTTGGTGCTCAAAGAGGTTCAGCAGTTCAGTATGCGGTGCTGTTGCCATTAAGCACGGGGTGGTAGAGGTGGGGATGAAAGAAGGAAGGTCTTGTGGGTTTGTTTGTTACATGGGTATGTTGTGTGTTGTGGGTCCTTCTGGATGGTCACTAATACTTAGCGTAATGCTTTTCCTAGTGGTGGGACAGCGGGTAAATGTTTGCCTGCAGAAGGCTCAGTCAGGCATTTCTATTGAATGAGTTGAACTGATGGGAGGAAGCGGCTGTCTGCCTCTGAGCCAGGGAAGCAGTGGCTGAGGGAGGTAGGCAGGTAATGGCCTTCGACCTTTTGGTAAGGCGAAAAATGCAGAAGGTGCTTTGATTATTCCTAAGATTCTTGGGGAAAGAACCAGGTGATGTTCAGATGACATGCTAGACTTGTTAGACAGTGGGAATGTACCTGCTGCAATCAGATTGGAAGCTCCTGGTCTGAAGTTAGTCCTTTGGTTCTTAGCGGTCTGAGTTTTTTCTCCTATTGATGCAGTTCTTGGTGCAGGCTGCAGTTGAGGCAGAGAGTTAATTTCTGTATCTCATTCATACAGTTCTAATAACCTGCAGTGTAGATCCTGTATTTGGCAGAATATCTTAATGCTTGCTCCTACCAAAGCCTCATGGCAATTGTAGTATGGCAGAGCTCAACAACTAGGGCTCCGTGTGGAAGAGGTGCTATGAAAAATGCAGGAGCACAATAGTTCCTTAAAGCACTTGTGTAATTCATCAGGCTTCCACATGTCCCTGAAAAAAGACAGGCTGCTTTGAGGAACCTCATTAAAGCTGAATTATCTGCACCTGTAATATATACCCAATTGAAATATGCTGTTTCAGAGAGCTTATATAGTTGGTCTGGCTGTGGGAATTACCAGGGTTTAACAGAATGTCTCTTTATATTTGTCAGCAACACAGTGACTCCTGGGGGCAAGCCCAATAGGACCAGAGTCATCTGGGGGAAGGTGACCCGTGCCCACGGAAACAGTGGCATGGTGCGAGCAAAGTTCCGCTCTAACCTGCCCGCCAAAGCCATTGGACACCGGATCAGAGTGGTAAGGATGGGAGCTCCTTGCTCCCTTAGCCAGGGGTTGACTAGGGTTTTGAAATCTGCTTCGAGGGTTTTTAAAAATAAATGCAAAGATAGTGTATCTGTGTTTTTTTTTTTAAATTCAGTCCAAGGGAACAGAGAATTAGCTTTTCTGCATAATCTGTTTGGCATATACGTAATTCATCCGGCAGTTTCCCTTGGCTGCAGAGGGGCCACAGTTTAGGATGGTGAAATGGGTGGCGGAGGCGGGTTGGGGCAGTAGTAGGAGAACAGATGCAGAAAATTTGTTACAAGAAGCTTCTGCTTCTGTCTACCTCTCGTAAGCTTTTTTTTTCTTTTCACAGATGCTGTATCCATCCAGAATCTAAATATAGACCGCAAATAAAATTCAAAGTATATTTCACTTTTGTATACTTAATCTTGTCTTGCATTTTACTTTCTGTCTGTGCAGCTCAGACATCATGAGTGATTTGTCCTTTAGGTGGCAGAGGGCTATTTATTGCTAACAGAAACATTACAATAAAGCAGTGTTCCACGTTAATTGCATCTTTCTCCTAGAGTTTTACATCTACTCAAACAGTTTTCCGTCATATGTGGATAGAATAAGTTATTCAGCTTGTTTATCTTAGAAACTGCTCTCAGTTTATTTGAATCATAGAACTGTAGGGTTGGAAAGGACAATTACCATCTTATTCAACCTGGCACCATGTGCAGAGAAAACATTTAACTGTTTGGATTACAGAGGATGACGTGGCATAAATCCAAAATGAATCCTTGCATTTGTGACACGTGCCCACCTGTTGATTCCTCTGTCATCCGGCACTGGGCCGCTGGGGAGTACGTTCTTCATGTTTAGCGCCAAACTAGCTCTGGAATATTCTGCAAAGGCCTCCAGAGAACAGCAAATTTCTCACTG